TTCCTTGTTCTTTACATAGGAAATGGATGAATCCGGTCAACAGGGTTCTGGTGATGACAACTCTTTTACTAGCCGGAGAAAGGGTAGAGGGCCAACCCATATGAGGCATTTAGCTTTACGTGATGAGAGCACACAGCCTATGAGGATTACAATGGAGTTTGATGATGATCTGAAGCCTATAGGAAAGGATGTGGCTCAATTTACTAGTTATATGGGTTATCTCGCACGCAGTAAAATTAGCATTGACATTCCTAACTGGAAGAAGGTGGACAAAGATTTGAAGAAAAACCTTTGGGAGGATATATTGGTATATTGTGCATTGTTTTCTCTACTTGTTTCAATTATAGTTGTTTATTTACTTTATAACTCTATGCTATTATTGTATTGCATGCAGCTGACATTTGATATTCCTGCCACTAAACAAATGAGAGACCGTCTGTTGAAGCAAATTGCTGAACGGTGGAGGGATTTTAAGTCCATGCTTACAACACATTATATTAATGGAAAAAGAAAGGGTGAGCATCCTAAGGAACAATATTCATTTATTAGTGAAGAGGCATGGGAGAATTTTGTGAAGCAACGTGAAGACCCTGCATTTCAGGTTTGGTTTCTTCAAACTTATTTTTTAATCAGGTCATATTTTATTTAACTAAACTAATTTTGTCGATTTGGTTTCATTGTCATAGGCATTGAGTCAGAAGAACAAACAAATATCTGAGCAAAATGTATACCCACATACCATGTCTCGTGCAGGGTATGGTGGGTTGGAAAGAAGTATGATGGAGGAACGACTGAAGAATGCACAGATGGCTGCTGCTTCAGATCCTACTGGCTACATGCCATCTATTGAGCGTCCTTCTCGCCAAGAAAAATGGAAGGCGGCGAGGATTAAAAAGGGTCAATACATTACTCCACAGTCTGCTGCTGTTGCTGAGAGGATTGTAAGTAATATTTAAGAATTATGCTTCATTAATTGTTTTTTTCAATTATCTTAAATTGAATTTGTTGTTTTAATGATATAGGATACACTTGAGGAGCAATTATCTCAAGGTACATTCATCTCTCAAGGACGGATGGATATCTTGGCCACTGCTATTGGAAAGGCTGACCATCCCGGAAGAGTCCGAGTGGCCCCTAAAGGGATTGGTATTAAAGAATTTTTTGGCTCTGCTTCACGAAGAAGCACCAAACATCCTCCGCTAACATGGTATCTAAAGAGGAGCTCGACCAACGACTACAAGAAGAAACAGAGAGTTCGAGCTGAACTAAGTCAACAACACATGGCAGAGATGCAAAAGATACGTGATGAATTCGATGTCAAGTTTCAACAGACTTTGATGATGATGGGTACGAGCGGATTCCAGATGCCCCGAGTATCTGAACCTTCCCAGGTAATAATCACACATCTTTGACCGCAATGAGTCAGACCAAAAAGCTAATATATTTTGCACCTTACGTGGAAGGGTAAGTGTATTATTGTATTTGAGATATACAAGTTGTATGTGTCGGGTTATAATTAACATGGTTTGCCTTTTGCAGTTATCATTGGTCTCTAATTGTTTGTGTCCCTTTTGACAACAAAGTTTACTGGTTCGATTCACTCTGTGGAAGTCCATCCGAAGAAACCAAAGATGTCATCGACACGTTAGTTTTTATTTATATATTTATTACTTGTGAAGTTTATACAAGCATGCTCTAATATCATTTTCTCTTATAATGTTGATAGGGCTTTTCATACTTTTAATGTCGTGGCGATTAAACAAAATAGACAAGCACCAACATGGATTCTTCCACAGGTATATGTTGTTTTGAACTAACTTTTAAACATTTTTGGATGAATTAAAGTTAATGTTTATAATCAATAATGTCTAATATTCAATTTTATATCTTATTTTTTTAGTACCATTGTCAACAAGGACATGTTGAGTGTGGATATTATGTCATCCGCTACATGAATGACATAAGTGAGACAGGAACGACTGAGAAATTAGACGAGGTAAAGATGAGTTACGTTGCATGACGTTCTTCAATTTATTTCACATTTTTGACTAAGTTTACTATGTTATGTTTGATTAACAGATATTTCAAAATACTGCGCCATATCTCATGGATGACATCAACTTGATGAGGGACACTTTGTCAACAACATTGGTCGAAAAAATTGAAATTTAGCTTTCAAATAGATAGGTTATTTCTCAAAAAATTCATTGTTAGATGCTTTCTCTCAGTTCCTCTTATATTGTTCATGATTTCCATTGTACAGAGAAGTAGTTACTTCTATTTCAGAATTGTTGGACCTAGCCAATATGTGTTCCTTGGTAACCACTTAGTTATATTATATTGGCCGGTTTCCCTATTTTTGAATGGTGTAAAAAAAATTTCATTACTGTATATTAACTAGCTAATTGATCTTGTTCTGCGTGATCTGCACTGCCTACATTTGTTTGGAACTGTAAACTGCAGGGTGGTAAACACGAAAATAAAGCAGAATTTAAAAAAAAAAAGCATTTTTAACGGCGGTTATACATATAATTGCCGTTAAAGTCCTTTTCCACGGCGTTTTATTTATAAACCGCCGTGGAAAGTAAAATTTCCACGGCGGTTTTATATTTAACCGCCGTGGAAAATGGACTTTCCACGACGGTTAAATATAAAACCGCCGTGGAAAGTCCACTTTTCACGGCGGTTTTTAACCGCTGTGTTTTCCTTACCTTTCAACGTCGCCTTCAAAACCGCCGTTAAAAGCCTTTTTTCTGGTAGTGGTTATGTGCGACTCAAATTATGGGAAGCCGAGGATCTCGCTTCATTGTTTTAAGTGAGGGAGAAATTCAAGGCGTAGAGGGAGGGGCGACAGATCAGGAAATGATTTCCACACAAGATATGAATAAAAAAAGGGGTACCTTACTCTCTCCGTAACCCCTTGGGGGTTGGGCCGTCCGCTATGAAGAAAAATAGGCCGGTGCATTAGCAAGCTGTGGTGGAGTCGCTAGAGATCACAATGGCGAGTTCCAAGATGGCTTTATGTTTAACATGGGAAGGGGGAGCAGCTTCCATGCTGAGGTTTGGGCAGTCCTATGGAGCCTTAGAAGGGCGTGGGATCTACAATGGAAGAAGGTGGTGATTGAAATGGATTGTTGGGAGTTAGTGGAACTCATCAGTATAGGCTGGGATGAAGACCACCTGAAAGATAGCCTCCTTTCTGCAAGTGGGTGAATGACTAGACAAGGATTGGGACGTGCAAATAGATTGGTGCAGAAGGGAATCAAATATTGTTGCAGACAGGTTGGCGAAGGAGGCGTTGCAAAGGGTGAGTGGTTTGATGGTTTTTTCCTCACCGCCAGATTTTATTTGTGACTCACTTTTGCACGATGTCAGGATGTAGTCCTGTCTAGGGCCCCTTGTTTCACTGGAAAAAAAAAAAAGCAAGAAAGGATTGACTGGTCATCAATAACAATAAGCCAGGCCAGAGCACTTAACTTGGGCTTGGTTAAGATATTTTGCAACCCAGGTTAAGATATTTTGCAACCCAGGTCTGTATGCTCTCAATGGTCTTGTTTTAATACGAAGTATGAAAAATAAGAGATGAGGATTTGTATTAAAATTAAAAAAATCTATTAAAAGAGTGTTTACTATGGGATATTTCTTATTATATGAGATTGGATAAACCGATACATGTGTGATTGGAGAATGTCATGGAAGGAGGTGATATTTTCTAATCCTACCTCCATGGGTCTATCTAATTCTATGTAACAAGCAATTACTTATACTAAATATTTTTTTAATAATTTTTTAAATTGTAATCTAAGTTCCTATTCCTTATTTGTAATGTTTCGCACCAAATGGCACCAATAATATCAAGAAAGCTGGTAAATAAAAAACACAATAATGTAATAAAGAAAGGCCACACGGGTGCACCAAAAGGGGTCCAGCCCAGCAGGAAGACTGAATTTGGCCCAAGACTCAGGAAAATTGTTAAAAACTAATGAGTAGTTTTATTCATTAAAAAAAATAATTATCTCATTTGAAAATATATTTTCTCGAAAAATGATATTGAAATCAAATCTAACGTTTTCTAAAACTATAAAGATAAAAAACTGACGCGTTATTTTCACATAATGTCAAGTTAAGGATTTAATTTAAAACTTTATATAAAAGTAGAAGTTCGAATTCTTAAAATTCTTCATGATAATACCAAAATCTTTTTTTTTGTACACACACGTATAGGATTTATTATGGAAAAAAAAGTATAATATCAATAAATGTTCAGAGAAAATTAAAAGAACATATTTAAATATGTTAGAGGAGGACAATGTTTGATCTAGACTTTGTGTTTTTTTAATATGACAAGTAAGACTAGGCAAATAAATTGGTTTGATGCCTCTAGTTATTTAGTAAGTTCTTAAAACTGAGTGGAATAAGAAGAAACCCCACAATAAAAGTTTTTTGTTTTATAACCAGAACCCCATAATAAAAGTGCGGATTATATGAACAATTTTAGTAGTGTTACAAGGCTCAAAGTTTGGATGGTGAAATTCTAATTATATTAGTAGCATGAGGTATTCTTGCTGGGGGCAAAAAGATAACAAGTTTATTTGTAACACTCTTTCAATCCTAAATATAAGACTTTTATACCAATGTGTATAAGAGTCTTATATTTATGATCGGTGGAATAATATTTTACTACATCTTAAATATAAAAAAAATTAAATAGTACATAATAAATAAGTTATGCTATTCATATTTATAAATAATAAAAATTATTTAATATTTAATAGTAATATTAATTAATTTCCCATTTTTCATGTTAATATTGACATTAATTTTAGTGGCAATGTTTCCAACGAGATCATTGCGAGCTTAATTCTTGATTGATATTAATAAATTAATAGTATTAATTATTAAAAAACTTTTTCCGATTCCGGCTTCCTGAGCCATTGCCCATGTCTTGGACAAAAAAGTTCTTCGATTTGCCCGTTTCCTTGACCAAAACCCTTGAGCCAGTGTTCCTTTACCCCTCTCTCTCTCTCTGTTCATTCACTGGCTAGTTTGTGGTACCGGAACGAAGCGTGTAATTGCTGGAAGGTAACACATTCTTTCAGCTGTCAAATTGAACTCGTGTAAGATATTTGCTATTCCAGATCGTTTATCATCTTGATATCGATATATTTATGATAATTCTTTCTTGTTTTTGCTTGCCTGGATTATTCATTACATGAAATTTGTTTTTTCTTCTTGGTTTTTTTATTTGCAATTATGCGATTAACGAACCATTCTTGAAAGCTGGGTGGATGTTGATGATTCTTTTTGTGGTTTCACTGGGTTTTGTGTATCATCTTCAGTCTTAGGTCCATAGAATGGGCAGTAAAGGTCGAATACCGCCTCCACATATGAGGCGTCCTTTGCCAGGTCCTGGGTTGATACATCCTGAGCCGTTAGGTCCTGGTATACGCCCTCCATTGGCTCCATTTTCCCCTTTTGATTTGTTGCCACCACCGGAAGTTCTGGAACAGAAGCTTGCTGCTCAACATGCTGATATGCAGAGGCTGGCCACGGAGAACCAAAGGCTTGCCACCACTCATGGGACATTGAGGCAGGAGCTTGCCGCGGCACAGCATGAGTTACAGATATTGAATGCGCAAATTGGAGCTATCAAGGCTGAAAGGGAGCAGCAGATGAGGAACCTTATGGATAAGATTGCCAAAATGGAAACTGATCTTCAAGGGGCGGAGCCTCTCAAAGCTGAGTTACAGAAGGCAAGAACAGAGGCCCAGAATTTGGTTGTGTCCAGACAGGAACTTATTTCTAAAAGGCAGCAATTGTCTCAGGATCTTCAAAGAGCCCATGTTGATGTGCAGCAGATTCCTGCTCTCATGTCAGAACTTGAGGGTCTCAGACAGGAATATCAGCATTGCAGGTAATCGTTTTCTTTTGTTTAGGGGCCGTTTCCACTAGCAATATTATTCACAGTTACTAAAACCTGACCCGTCGCATTAGTATATTGTCACTTCTAGTACAACCGTATGTACATGATATGAAATGTTGATCATTAGCTATCTGGAAGCATGAATTTATGGCTCTCAATGGAAGAACTAAAATTCTATTTTGTTTTCTTTGGATGAAAATTTCATTTGAGCTATAACTGATAGTTAATAATAAGAGTAACGTGAATGACGTGCTGGAAGTAGGAGGCTTGATAAGGCTTTACCCTAATAAGGACTTGATTTATGTCCAATATGGCAATGTTGGCAGTGCTTGGGTGCATTTCTGCAGACTACGTTTGTAAGAAAGTATATCAATTAATCTGCAGTGTAATTAAGTACATCTCTTTGTCACCCCTTTCCATTGCAAACCGTTGTCCTCCCTCCCTCCATCTACATCATGAATTTCCATTTCTATATGAGGAAAAAGAATGAAGAATTAGTGGGTGCTCAAACAGATTGATCTCAATAGACTGAATGGGACAGAATTCCGAGTGCAGATAGATTCAATAATGATTGGGAAAAAAAAAATGATGTGGCCTATCAGATAGACGGAAGGAAGATTATAAATGTTCTCTGTTTTTTTTTTTTCCTTTTTTGAAAAACCTGACCTTATCTGACAAATGATAGTAAAGCCCATTTATTTGCGGTGTTTTGATTCCTTCAGTTTGTGTCTTTTTTGTTCCATTTAAACTAACATATAGAACAGGAAAACATATATGATGCTATAAAATTTTAAAAACAATGTGGCTTATCTGACAAATGACATAAGACTATAATACAAGCGCTTCCATTTTTCCCCATTATCTGCCTACTTTGAAGAGGGGTTAGGAAAGTTCCTTTGTTTGTGGTGATGTGGTTTTAAGTTTCTGTTTTTTTTGTTTTGGGTCCATTTAACCTAGCATATGGGTAATAGGACCTATATAATGATATCAAGAATGTGGCTTGTCTGAGAAATGAAAAAGAATATAATTGCTGTGTTTTTTTATTATTAAAATAACCTGACCTGATTACTTTGAAGGGATAGGAAAGTTCCTTCATTTGTGGTATTTGGCTTCCTCCATCTTCTATCATTTTCCATTGCATTCAAAGAGTATAGAACTTGAAGATAAATGATATCAAGAATGATATAGTTTAACTGACCTTCAACAAGATTGTATAAATGCTCTTCTTTCTTAATTGGTGTTTTGCTCCCTTAATTTTCTGTTCTCCTATCCATTAAAGAGTGCTTATAAAACTTCCTTTTCTCTTTCCTTTATTTCCTTTCAACTGCATTCTAATTCTTATCTTGCAAGCATATTGTCAATTTACTGTAATAAATACCCCTGATACTGATAATCGAATGGTTGGGTTTTGCAGATCCACGTATGACTATGAAAGAAAGCTGTACAATGATCACCTTGAGTCACTCCAGGTGATGGAAAAGAACTACATGTCTATGGCAAGGGAAGTGGAAAAACTTAGAGCTGAGTTAGGAAACACTACTAACATTGATAGAAGAAATGGTTTGTATCTCTTGTTATATTCTCTTTCTGTTATGGTCATTTTTTTTAAGTTTTCATGGATTATGTAGTTTGACCTTCAGATTACTATCAAATGTCATAGGCCCATATGGTGGCACTCCTGGAAATAATGAGAATGATGTCTCTGGTCTTCCTGGTGGTCAAAATGCATATGAAGATGGTTATGTTGCTGCTCTGGTGCGTGTAAATGCTTTGCTTAACTTTGTTATGGGACTGAAGGTTTTGAGTTCACTTTCCAGTGTCACTGATCTCTGTGATTTTGTTCTGCGTAATTAAGATCTTTGAACTAATTGTTAATGCCTTTTAATTTGGCCAATCTTCCTAATGTTTGATGAGCTTCCGTAAGACCATGACTGTAGCATATGCTATAATGATGTCACATGCTGGGAAGATAGTCTCTGGTGTCGAAAAAGAAAAAAGCAATTATGATATGATTTTGTGATCAATATAGTTAACTTGAATTAAAAGGACTCTGTTTGATCTGATTTCCTTTAGACATCAGTCAATCTGTCATGACCATTTTGATTGGCCCGATTTACTTTAACGGAGGGACGGAGGGTTGATTTTCTGATTGCTTTTAGATAATGAAATTAGTCAACCTATGATTTCGTTCTCTATTTTTAAGATACATGGACTGATTATTATTATGCAAATGTGCATTATTGTTTTATGAGCTTCTTTGGTTGGTGCAAAATGGGTATGGAGGACTACGTATCATATGTGTTAGAAAGTTAGGGGACTGATTAAGAAGCGTTATAAGCATGGCATGGATGTTTGTAGTCAAATCTTCTGTTTTCGTGATGAAATGCTATGGTAAAAATGTAGACCCTGTATGTCTGATGACAGTGAACGTTACCAATCAGAAGGGCTATACCTATATGGTTTATAGGTTGAACTGAGACGTAGTCCAATTTTACTCTACCGACTTGTCATCCACGTATTTTGCCTAATAACTCTGCACTTGTTAACAGGGACGTGGTCCCCTCCCTGCTGCAAGCGGTGGGGTTGCAACAGCTGCTAGTGCTGCCTCTGCTCCTCCCTATGTCGGAGCTCAGCCTGTCTCTGCTCATGCATGGACTGGTTATGATGCTCCAAGAGGGCCTGGTTATGATGCATCTGCAATGCCTTCTTATGATCCGCAGAGGGGTGCTTATGATCCGCAGAGATTGGCTGGTTATGATGTTCAGAGAACTGGATATGATCCACAGAGAGGAGCTGCTTATGAGGCATCAAGAGCAGTTGGCTATGATGCACAGTCTAGAGGTGCTGCTGCCCCACCACTTGGACATGCCGCTGTGCCGGCGAACAATATGCCATACGGGTCTGCAACACCACCTGCACGTGGTGCTGCAGGTGGATATGAGGCTCCACCTCGAGGGGGAAACCCATCTAGGAGATGATTTTAACGGGCTATTTTTCAAATGATCAATCGGATGGATGCTCAGGTTTAATTGCTGAGTTTTGAGATTTCGGTATCACCTGCTGGCTGACACTGAAAAGCCCTCTTCTCTAAGCAACTACTTCTGTCTATGGCGCTTTTGCATTTTGCAATGCGCATTAAGATTCCTTCCTGGCAAAATGTATACTGCATCGCAAAATTCATCAGGCCTTATCGCGTAATGCTGAGCTAGTTTCTTTTGCTCCGGTGGCTGAAAGGGGTCAAAGGGCCATATATATATATATATATATTTTTTTTGGGGGGGGGGGGTTGGGTAAAGAACAAACTAGGTAGCTGCTACTGAACGAGGTGTTGAGACCTGTTAATACTAGTCCCCCACCACCAGCAGTACAAACACATTGTTATCTAGGTAGGAAAGAGAAGGTAGTAACGTTGATCCACAAGACAATATCAATATGTTTATTGAAGGAAAAAAAATGAGGAAAATCTGTTGGAAAATTTGCGGCTGCAAAATTTCTTGAAGGATCCACGGGTAATTATTTTTGAGCTGTGTGGCGTTTATATTTAATGCAAAATGAAAAACATTTATATATAACTTAAAATATGTTACATAGCGCTGAAGAAAAGTTTTTACGTATCTTTGGGTAATAAATTTTGCAGAAATTTTAAGCAGTTTTCGTAAAAATAATTGGAACTTTTCAATTTTTTCTCTTGTACAAAATTCTAGTCATGTTTTCCTTTCATTCTTTTTGCTTTGTTCGAAACGGCTGGAGGCCTTGGCAGAGAAAGACAGTTTTTTACTTTAGAATGTGACCCTATCTCCAAATATGAAAGAAAAGGCGAAGCACTGTTATAGTTTTTTTTTTAAAATTTTATTTTAACATAATTGCCGTATGCATGTCCTTAATAAAGCATAGGTATATACTTTAATACAAAATGTATACATTTATGATTCTTTTAGGTTAGAATAGTACCTCATAATATTTATTTATTTTTATGTGAAGTTAATTGCGATCATATTGATTTTAGTTTTAGGAATGAAAAAATAGTTTAAAGAAAATCAACATTGGAAGAAGTACCTTCATCTTAAGCATTTGATGGGGGTATAATACAACATTGGGTCCATCTATACTTGAAAAAATTGTAATTTGATCTGGAAAAGTTTTCTAATGATCCTGTGTAAGACTAAGAATTTCATTAAATCCTCCGAATTTCATTTAATGATCTCAAAAGCTCAATATTGAAAGAGAATAATTCCCCTTATTGCATTTACACTTGAACCAGGTCAGATAAAAATGCGATCAACCAATGAATGAATTTTCTTTATATAAAACACTATTAAGGCAAAAATAAAAGGGAAAAAAGGGAACCATTTATAAACCAACACCATTTCTTTTAGCAGAAGAAGAAAACTGAAGGAGTTGGCCAAAAAAAAAAACAGAAAGGAAGAAAGAAAGAAAGGATTTTGTGGGATATTGATGTAGAGACTGGAGATCGAGAACCAAAACGTGTGTATTGCAGGGGAAGTTGTTTGACTTTGAACATTTCATCATCAGACTGTTCCGAATTATACGTTTTGTGTGTTTTCAATTTTGGGTACGTAGAACGTCAGATCAAAGAAAATAGTACACAGTTCAGTGAGAGGTTTTGTTCTCAATTCCACGGCGGCCCCACGAGGGCATTTAATTCAACTAAGACCAACGAGGGGTTTGGTATGATTACAAAGTATTTTTATGTAAATCAAAATAAAACATCTTTAAAATACTTATTTTATGAAGTATATCGTAAAATTATTTTAAAAATTGCAGTTTGGTTCCTAATCAAAGAACCTGAAGTCATTCATAAAATTAGCCGGGGGCTGTGTGTTTCTTTTTTTTTTTTTTTTTTGTGACAAAATTTGTACTACTATTATATGTATATTTACTCTGTGTATATATATATATATGTGTGTATCTTGCCTTGTGCTACGCTAGCTGAAGAGAGAAAATGTGAGGGAGAGAAAATTGAAATATATAAGAGAAAAGTTAAGGGATAGATGTGATTTTCTCTTCTTATGCCTGGTTGAGTGGAAGAAAACAGAGAGAAAGAAAAAAAAATCTAATCTTATAAAGACAATATTGACCTTAATTACTACGATAAAGAAAATACTTATATGTATATATAATAAAATTGATTATTCTACCATATTATTTAGGTAATTTTAACTATATATTACTCCTCCAGTCCTTAATATAGGACCTAATTAGAAGGTTGATATCGATTCTAAATATAAGACCTATTTATCAAATTTATCAATTTTTTCCTAAATTATCCTTATTAAATAATTAAATACCACAATAATACTTATTACTCTGATACATCTATATATTTTATAAAACGAGTGAGTACTTATTACTCATTAATTCCACACATATATCAATTCTACCGTTTTATATTTTTAATAAAATAATGTAAAGCATTTTTTGAAAGTCAGTTTTGTAAAGAAGTTTTAATTAAAGATATTTCGCGAAACATATGCTATATTTATAATTATTATTCAATTTAACTAACTTTTTTAATTTAATTAAAATAGTTAAATAAGAAAATAAGGGGAGTACTAAATATGAAACAAAATAGAGAACTTGTGAAATCAAGCAAAGTGATCTAAGACGAATTCGTTGTTTGCTTTCATATTTTGGGCCATCGATGCGGCGTTTGAAGTAACTCAGACAAAGTCGTGGCATTTATATAGAATGTCCAAACCAAGCAAGGCCGTGTTGCTTGTAAGAATAAATGTAAGAAATGGAAGTGCCAGCCAACTGAATGCCATCAAAGCAGTCCACTTGCAACAACCATATGTATAGTAACACATTGACCGCGTAATGCAAATCACAAGTTAGTTAATTTGTCCATTACTCCAAACTCACAAGTTTATATTTATATAAATGGATCCATAAGAATTAAATACTTTGAAAATGAAGGTTCATCAATCAATAGCAGTAATTAATATTATATATATGGATCCTTAAAATGTTATTATACGGTTAATTAACCTTTGTTCATTAAAAGAACAAACAGCCGTCTTTAAGAGAACAGAAAATTCATTCCCCAAAAACACGAACTGGTGATTTAATCTGTGACAGTGGCAGCGAAATGGACTATTTAATCAATTAATAATTTGAGTTGCCAGTAGAAAAACTCTTGTGGAGGAGAAACCGTAGGTGCTGATATGTTCAAAAGGAGACAGCTTCAACCTATTCAGCTTTATATTTTATTGTTCTTGCAGCCAATAGCCACACGCGTTTTGTTAACTTAGTAAAACCTACTCTCACCTTCCTCCATCCCTTCTATATATATAAATACCTTTCACTCTAACCCTCCATTCACAACTCATCACCCATATCATTCTTCCACTTTCCTTGTTATTAGCATCCTACAAATCCAGCTTTAGCCTGAACACCTTCAACACTATACATGGATCCCATTAAAGCATTCCTCTCCAGCTTCGTTTTGATCCTCTCAGTTTCATCAGTATTGGCCTCTTCCTCAGCGTCTCTCAAGGTGGGTTTCTACAAGTCGACATGTCCATCAGCAGAAGCAATCGTGAAGAGAGCCGTCAACAAAGCTGTTTCTGCCAATCCTGGAATCGCTGCTGGTCTCATCAGAATGCATTTCCATGACTGCTTCGTCAGGGTGAGTTCCATCACACCCATTTCCTACCTTCTATCTTTATCTCAAATACATATATATATATAATATAATTCTCATCATGTCGTCGGTTCATATATATATACACAGGGTTGTGATGGATCTGTGCTGCTGAAATCAACACCTGGCAATCCGGCTGAGAGAGACCACCGAGTAAACAACCCCAGCTTACGTGGCTTCGAGGTCATTGATGAGGCCAAGGCTCTGATTGAGGCTGTCTGTCCTCAAACTGTTTCTTGTGCGGACATCCTGGCTTTCGCTGCTCGGGACAGTGCTCAGAAAGTCGGACACATAAACTACGATGTGCCTGCAGGACGAAGAGACGGTCGTGTCTCAATCATGGACGAAGTCCAAGGCAATGTGCCCCCACCTTTCTTCAACGCACAGCAACTCATTGACAATTTTGCACGAAAGGGATTATCAGCGGACGAAATGGTCACTCTTTCTGGTGCTCATTCCATTGGCGTATCTCACTGTTCTTCCTTCTCCGGTCGTCTCTACTCCTTCAATGCCACTCATCCCCAGGATCCTTCCATGGATCCTGCCTTTGTTGAGCTGTTGAAAAGAAAGTGTCCGCCTTCCAGCAACAATGGCGGTGAAGATCCGAAGGTTGTGCTTGATGCTGCTACGCCTAGTAGATTGGACAACAAGTACTATGTGGCACTGAGGAGTCATCGTGGGTTGTTGACCTCAGACCAGACATTGTTGGAAAGTGAGTCCACAAGGAACATGGCGCTGCGAAATGCCAAGCATGGTTGGAGTTGGGCTCACAAGTTTGCCAAGGCAATGGTTCGTATGGGTTCGATTGAAGTGCTCGCTGGTTCAGAGGGCGAGATCAGAAAGACATGCAGCGTCGTCAACTAATTAACACATCTAATATTTATGCTTTGCTGTGCTCGGAAACAATTTGTTCACACCTCAGTTTGGTTTTCAATTCTTTTTTTCAATGATTCTTTTGTACGTGTAAAGAATACTTAATGTTCAGCGAATTAATTTAATTTCTCTGCCGTTCCTTCTACCCTTTTGTATCTTCTTTTTTTTTTCGGGAATACAATAGGCAAGTTAAAATAACTTGTGGAGAGAGCCAAATCGGGAAAACTCAAGACGCGAGTTGCTGGGAAATATCATCCCTCGTGAGTGTGAGACTGTGAGGCATCCTGGGTGTGTATTTAGCAAAAGTTGCATGTTGCTGCTCAGATACTGAGCGCCTTTGGCAAGGAAATCTGCACACGAGTGCATCGCGTGGAGCACAATGCAGTTCGATCTCCCTGTTCCACCCTTTGTATCTTAAAACTTGATATTTTGACTATGATGCAGCATTCCACCCTCACTTCATTAGATTTAGACTATCTAAATTTGATTTGGATGATCCAGATATAATTTCTTTTTTTTATTTGTTCAAAATAATTATTTTAATAGATATAGAATAAAAAATTAAAAATAATATTTTAACTATTATTTTTCCAAAAATAATTTCTTTATTTAAAAATAATTAATTAAAATTTTAAAATCTGGACTATTTAAATAAGAACTTAATTGTTTATATTTGATGAGTTT